GAGACGGCACAGGGCAGGGAAGTAGGCAATTCTCTTGTACATGGGCGGCCATGAATCAGAAGCTACTTGACCATAGGGCTGGGAGGGAACAGGAGGGTAAGTTATTAACGATATGGTAGACACACATTACCTTGGGTCAAGAGGAAGGTAATAGGAGGGAAGTCAGTCAAAACTGAGGGAGACAGGAAGACAGTGGGAAGGGTGTAAGAGTTAAAGGAACAGAGATTAAATACTTTAATATATACATAATGCTGCAATAAAGCTGATTTACAAGTGGATGCAAACACAGATCTGTCATCTGAATGGGGGTGGAAACGAGGCTAGGCCTATGCTCATGAATATATATGAAGAAGCTTCAAAACAACTGTCAAAAATGAAATACAAAGATAATGAAATTTTTCCACAAACTGTTTCAAATTCCATTATATAGGACTAGCAAAGGATATTTCTACATATGTGTTTACCTAAGCTGAAAATATTTCCACAAATGTGATGGATGGCGCATACGGGGGCAAAGTTATGAAAACTTCTGAGATGTAACTAAGCACCTGCACGGAATGCATCACTGGGTCCTGGGGTTTAGGATTATAGTCTCCGGGGACACCTAGGTTAACTGATAGACTCTTGTCCACAAAGATAACATTGTTCTGCATACCACTTTGGAGTATAGCGATTGGGGTCTTCGAAGCTCATGAGCAGCTATCTAGGGGACAACTAATGTTCTCTCTCCATCTAGAGGATAGAAAGGTGAAGAAAAAATTAATGTAACAGTTCAATAGACCAATTGAACTTCAGCCATTATGTCCCTGAGACCAGAAGAACTAGATGGCGCTCAGCTACCTTAACCGACAGCGCTGGATGGGATTACATATGAAAGCATTAGGTAGGATATGAGAAAAATGAGGAACAAAACCCAAAATCATAGAAAGACCTAGCTTCCTGGTCTTAAAGAGCCTGGTGGAGCTCCCAAGACAATGGTCCTTAGTCGCCCTTCACCCCATGGCTAAATGTTCAGCCAAATAATGAACAGGTTCAACAGCACTAGGGATGTATGCACGCCTTAGAATAATCAAGAATTTGAGATGAAAAAAAGCACTATTTAACGAAGGACAATTTTCAAAAGCGTTCGGAAAGGAGGAGGAATGAAGACAAGAAGTAACAGTTAGAAAATGCAATGAATGAGATGAAACAAAATGCGTATGAGTTGCGGATTGTAAAACAGATTATCTGCTTGGTAAGCCCTTGCCTAGTTAATAATAAAAAGTGAAGGGGAAAAAAAAGGCATTCATAACCAAAAGTAAAAAAATCAAAATGAACCCCACTTATTTATTTGCCGTTTTGGAAAGACTCTAGGGCCGTTCTATTCTGTCTATAGGGTTAGCATCACTATGAATTGGAATGGACTCTACAGTAGTGGTTTGTTGGTTTGTTTGTTTTAATAGTTAACTTGGCCTAATTTACTTGTTCTTGACCATGTTTTAAACTTTTGGTTACATTATTAATATTAAGGAAAGCATCTGAAACAGAGAATCATACTTTTCAGCTGAGAGGTGGGAAACCTTTAAGGAGCAAATGTGCACATGGCTGGGTTCATAACGAGACTGTTCTCAATGTTCACGTGTCATTAGCACATAAAGACACTCGAGATAGCTCAAAGTCCAATCCGTGCGCACTATCTTTGCTTTCCTATTAATAAAATACTAAAATTGTGAGCAAGTTTGAAGCTAACAAACAAAATTCTGATACAGAAATGTGGAAAAGGTGACTGGTTAAGCCTTTGTTCGAGACACTTGCTTTACAAGACAGCAAAAATAATGTTACTTCTAATGCTAATTCTATGGTTGCTAGCTTACGTTACTTTAAACCCAAGGAATCATTAGTTCAAAAGAGATGAGTTGAAGAAGCTCCAAATGTAAAGAGTTTTTTTTAAAAGAACACTTTGATAAAACCAAGGGCAGGGGTTCCTCCAGGTTATCTGCTCCATCAGAAGGGGTTGCAGAACCCCATGAGAAAACGTATGTAACTGCCGCCTCCCAAATACTACCTGGGCCACCACCACCCGGGCATTTCACAGAAGCAACAGAGTCCCAGTGATTTGCCTAAGACAAAATAATTGGTTAGCAGCCAAACTGGAGGCATTTACCTTGATTATTTTGACTGCAGATAAAAAAACTTTTTTCTTAATTAAGAGGTAGCTTTCCAAATGTACTGTTTACCCTGCACAAATGTGACGGGTTAGCAGGTAATAAAATGAAAAAATTCAGAATCTTGCAGCTGCTTCCACAGCCACACACTGGCCTTTCTGGCATTGCCACCATTGACTTCATTGTCCCAATAAGGAGCTGGAGGAAGCTGAGCCTCCCTGTTGCCGCAGCCTCCCTGACTGCCTAATACTAATAGCATAGTACAATGAGGCATCAAAAACATAAGATCAATAGCAAAAGATGATCTTTTACCTTAAAAGAAAAAAAAGGAGTAATAGATCTTTGGTAAAACTGGCAGGTGAAATAAAGATTTACTTATGACTGCAAAAGTTGTGTTTTTTTCTTTGAAACATTCTAGAATCATGTGCAATTCAATGTAATGAATGGACAATCAGGTACATTTTCTCCATTTAACCATCCAGTAAATAGCCAATGACACATTCAAGGTCAAACAGTGCGAGTCTTCTGACCTAATGTTCTACCTTTAACCTGTTAGAATTAAACTCTAGAGGCACACATAGTCTCTCCTTGTGTCCACGTCAGTCGAGTTAACACTGAGAACAGTGAATTTGCTCAGGGCGAGTACTATGACAGTTAACTACACTGGATGAAGAGGTAAAATGACAGATAAATGAGTACCAGCTCCCTCTCATATCACGAACAAGGCTAGCCTTTGATGAGGTACTGAAGACAGACCTTATATGCAGCCCATAACCTTTTCTATTCTGGATTGATGCCCTAACTGGAAAACCCCAGAGTAAAACAGCGATTCCCTTTTGTACTGCAACATGGAAGTATACTCCAGTCCACCACTGTCTGTTCTTAGACAACTGTAACCACAGGATAGTATTTGGATAGAGCTGGCCAACGGAACAACCGAGGCAGCAGCTAGCTAATGACTAGCCCACCCCCCTTGAAAGAGATTTACAAGGGCAATGGCCACATAGTTTATTATTCAAATTAGAACACTTCAAAACGAGATGGGACCTTAACAGTTATATATCATTAATAAGTGGTGTTGTACTGGGAAAATTAGAACATCTGAGTAACTCAACCTTCTTCCTATGACACTTGTACACAGGTGAAAGATGAGACTTTTTACTCTAGTAAAGAATTATAGTCTCCCCTGGCCCAGATTGACTTCACAGGGGAATTCTACCAAGCCTTCAAGAAAGAGTTGACACCAGTGCTACACAAGCTCTTCCAGAACATAGAAAAGGACAGTAAACTCCCAAACACATTCACTGAAGCTAATAATAACACTGATACCCAAACCATGCAAGGATCCAACAAGAATGGAGAACTACAGGCCAATATCTCTAATAAACATAGATTCAAAAATCCTTAACAAAATCTTGGCCAACAGAATAAAAAAGCATATAAAAAGAATAACTCGTCCTGACCAAGTGGGTTTCATACCAGGGATGCAGAGATGGTTCAACATTCAAAAATCCATCAACATTATCCACCACAAGAAGAAAAAGGACAAGAACCATATGATCCTATCAATAGATGCAGAAAAAGCATTCAATAACATTCAACACCCATTCCTAATTATGACACTCAAGAAGACTGGACTGGAGGGAAATTACCTCAATATAATTAAAGCTATATATGAAAATCCAACAGCCAGCATTACAATCAATGGAAAAAAGACAAAAACATTTCTAATGAAAAAGGGAACCAGACAAGGATGCCCCTTGTCCCCACTTTGATTCAACACCATCCTGGAGGTCCTAGCTAATAATAAAAGCAATAGAAGGATATCAAAGGTAAAAATCTGGGGAAGGAAGAAGTAAAATTACCGGTATTTGCAGATGACATGAGTTTGTACACTGAGAACCCCCAGGGCTCAACAATAGGAGTACAGGAAGAGATAGGGGGATATGGTAGAGTAGCAGGATACAAGATCAACAAGCAGAAGTCAACTGGATTGTTATAAACCACTGGTGGAATTACTGAAAAAAGAGATCAAGAAGGTAGTATCTTTCACAATAGTCAAGCATAAATTTAGATATCTAGGGAAATACCTAACCAAAAACAAACAAACAAACAAATAAATAAATTAAAGATCGGTACGAGGAAAACTACAGAAGTTACAAGAAACAAAAAGGGACCCTCACAAATGGAGACAGCACTGAAGATAGTTCAGGAAGTGTGTCCGACCTGACCCGCTCACATGGGGGCAAACCAAGAGGGGAGTACAACAGGGCAGCAATGGGAGCCAAGCCACGAACAGCCTGAGGAATCTCGATTGCAGACTTCTGACTCGGGACTCTTAAAGGCTTGAAGTTAAACAAGCGGCCATCTAGCAGGGAAGCAACAAAGCCCACATGAGGTGTGTGTGATCATAAGGTGTCAACAGGAATAGGTACCAGAAATTCAAGAACAAGCAATCAAATTGAAATGAAGGCACGTAGGCAAAGTGGAGACCCCCAAACCACGTGTAAGATAATTGGACAGTCAGTCCCTCACAGAAGGGCCACATGGAAGGGATGATCTATCCAGGATGCAATATAGCACTGATGAAACAAATAACTCTCCTCTAGTTCTTTAATATCTCCTGCCCTCCTATTATGGTCTTAGTTATACCTAATTAATCATGTGAGACCTGTGTATGCTCATTTGTCAGTTATTTCTATTTTAACGTTTTTCCTACAAGTTATAAAACATTACAGCTATCAGTACTCCCTAATTCCATTTTTCTCCTCTTTTATACAGAATTTTACACTCTTGAACAACTCCTTATAGAATGAGTTGGAACCTCTTCCCACCAGCGATGGAGACCATACACACCTCTGTCAGTTGCTTCAGTTGGTCTTTGTGAGCGCTCAGTTCTTCTGACAGGTCATGCTTTTTCTTTTGAAGTTCACAGACTTCCTTCCTTAATGGATTCACTAATTCATAGAAGCGAATCTTAACAAAAACAAAACATAAGTAAAATTAGTGAGCAGTCTTGAAATCTAAAATCGAATTAAAGGTTGCCAATGAACTGTCGTCTCTATTACCAGCAATAAAAACGAGGGCCTCCAAGACTAAAACAAGGCCCGGCTCACTAATACGTTAGGTCTTACAGTTCTATTAAACTGTCTGCAGATCGGGCTCTCTGTTCCTCCCCACACCCTGCCAGTCCCCCTTTCCTTCTTCCTCCACTCCATTTCTCGTCCTCATCTCCTATTAGTGCTCACTCTGCACCATCTACTTATTTCTCTACACATGAAATGTGCCACGGTTTTGCTCTTCTTTCCTCTGCCAGAAAACACCTTCATACCTAAATGCACGGCCACTGCCATCACTTCAAGGTCTCTGATCAAACATCACCTTATCAGTAAAGTCTCCCTTATCATCTTGCTGCAATTTAAGATAGCACCCTCATGCAGAACGCTAATTCTTTATTTTAGCCCTTTCTCTCCCATAGCACTAAACACAAGCAGACATTGCACAATTTTATTTTTAATGTATTATCTACTCCTCTGTTAGAGGGGAGCCCCGGTGGCAGAGAGGCTACAAGCAGGGCTGCTAACCAGAAGTCTGAACCCCCCAACCACTCCATGGGAGAGAGACACGGCCTTCTACTCCCGTTAAGATGTACAGTCTCAGAAGCCCTCAGGGACAGCTCCAACCTGCCTTCTAAGGCTGTTATGAGGGGGATTCGACTCCATGGCACCGAGTTTGCCTACTCTGCCATAAGGTAAGTTGAAGCAACTTTGACCGGAATAAGCCCATGGAAGTACAAATTTGGACTCCCAGTAGCAATACTACCACTTTTCTGTTAATTTGTTGTCCTGTGGTGGCTTATGTATTGCTGTGATGCTGGAAGCTATGTCAATTGTGGGGGGAGGTCAGAAGAGCAGGCATTCCCCCCACTGAGGGCAATCAGTTGCCAGCCTGCTGTCTCATCCCTCCACAGGGGTGGGCCTGCTCCCTGCCTCTGGGGACAATGGACAGGCTCCTGTAGGTGGAGTTTTCACCCTACTGATAATGTTCCTATGGAGACCCAGAGACCACCCCCTAGACCACCCTCTCATTGCTGTGTAACCTATAGTGCAGCTCCTCCCTGTGACGTATGTCTTTACCTGTAATTAGTGGGCTGGCATGCCCCCAAAAGGTATATAGGTGTGGGTCAGCAATATAGATCTCTCTCTCTAACTCTGAGCTCCTTGCTGCTCACTCCCTGGTCACTCCCCTCTCCCTTGTTCCCTTTCCCTCCTTCCCTTCCCCCTCTCTTGACGTGGACCACCAAGCTGGGCTGAGGTGAGCAATGCTACCCTATAATATGTCTGACTGTATTATTGTAATATCTCTCATGCTCTTGATGACTTTAATATAATACTTATATATCTCAACCGTACAATTGTGCATTACTGAACCCAGAAGTTGTACTTACTGAATCAGAGTAGTAGTAATAGTTGTAGCAGCGGGTGGAGGTTGGCCCTTCACCCCCCAGCACCAATTTTTTTATTTAATACTACAGTTAATGAAATTTAAAATACCAGTAAGGTCACAAAAGTGAACAGGATTCAACAGAACACCCAGACTAAGAAGAGACTATGAAGAAGAAATAGGCCATCCATTTCCTGGAATTAGCTACTGAAAACCTTATGAGCAGCAGCGAAATATTGTCAGACACAGAAAACCTCA